TAGTCTGGAGAAAATGTGTGAGCCTCAACAACTCACAACCCTATGGGCCTTCATGGCCTGTTACACGGATAGCTTTACCCTTTTACATTTAATATTAAGAACTTCACTATCTTGAATTAAAATCCAGATTAAGAACCTCAGCCTTCTTATAATCCTCCATTATGTGTAATGAGGAAGTTGATCCACTAAAAGTGACCTGTGTCACATGGTGTAATTGTAATATCTTCAAATGGACACCCATGTCATCTTTTCTCAGTATGTCAATATATGATTTCTTGTAAGAATTTATTCCTTAGTTTTACCTTGAAATCAGAACCATTGGAATTAACATATAAGCATAAGCATAAGCATGAATTTCAGACATCAGGCTTACCTCTCATACATTCACAGGATTCAGCAAGTTGCACACAGCGTTTTATTTAAGCTATGATTTCGATCAGAAACAGGTAAAAGGTAAAGTTGTCCCTGTGCTTAACTAATTAAGTACTATGCCATGAAGGCATACAAGGGAGTGAATGTATAGGTCCAGATTTTCTTGACCTTGGCACTAGTTGAAGGTGAATGGTCAGCTTGACGCTCTGGGCGCGTTAACCCTGGGGAAAGAGCCACTGGTACCCACTGGATAGGAGGTTGGGTGTACCCCAGAGCCGGTCTGGATGACTTGGAGAAGAAAAAATGAAAGTATGTGAATCTTGAGAGCAGAAATAAAGTAAAGCAGTAATAAAGAAGCTGTGCTTTAACCCAGCAGTCACTTACACATACAAATACAGTGTAATTACAGACCGTTGGGACGAGGGTAGTGAGTCAGAAATATGGATGCTGGCATGGGGAGTGGGTGGGGGAGCCAGGCATGTACCGCTCCTCCTGGACTTCTGAAAAAAGTCAGAATTGAGGAGAATGAGAAAATATCTATCAAAACATGTAAATGGTCTTGGAATGAACAAAAATATGGCCATAGGTCCCAGTGGGGTCTGAAACCAAGAATGACTGTGCCAGCAAAGGCAAGCAGCACCAGATGTTAATAACAAAATGAAAAGTATTTGTTAACAAATGTTCTGCTGTTCTCAGTTCTCTAGGACAGTCAGTAAGAATTGTTTTAATGGCTTAAATGTAAGTTTGTAAAGACATTTTCTGGCTTCCTCCCCCTTTCCTACCTCTGGAAAGCTGGCTGACCCCGACCCCTTTGGAAAGAATCCTGGTGTTGCCCATGGTTAGGTAGTAGATTGTATGTGGAGGTCTATTGGGTGTAGGGGAATTTTTAACCCCTGCTCTTCAATTCTGACACTCCTAATATAGGCTTATATATGCATATGTAGTATATAATTTTCTGGAAAACTTGAAATGTGCACCTAACACAAAGAACGTACCATCACTTGTGAGGTGAACATTACAGTATTTGTGGTTAACACTTCTGTATCATGTTCTGGAGATCCAGGGTTTGAATATTGATCAGGAGAAATATGTACCCTGACTGAGGTCTCTGTCATTTCCTTCAGAGAAGGAATACCATTTACTATTCATAGTCATCACACCAATATCCGATACTACACGTTAGTATAGCCTTAACACTCCAGGCTTGTGTTCAGGATGTAAAGGTAATAAAAAGATAATGCTGTTCATGTAGCAGACCATGGAGGCCTATAGGGCTGTGAGACGAGGGTCTCACGTTATCTAGACAGTCAGTTCCCTGATGGCGGTAAGGTTGTCAGCCTTACACACCTGCTGCCCTTACCCCCCCCCCCGGAAGATTCCTGGTACTCATTTCTGTTGAGTTGACCCCAGGGCCATAGTGCGGTTGGAAGGATTAGGTCAATGGAAAAAATCCCCCTCATTGGGAGTCGAACCCTCGACCTTCTGGCTTGTAGCATAGTGCCTCAACCAACTATGCTACCACATGCCCCATGTTCAGGAAGTACCCGGTTTAAATCTCAGCCAGGCTACTGGCTGTATTGACAAGAGATATCAAGATTCTGCTCAGAGTACCTTCAAATAGGCCGTGATGACTGTGCTTCAGAATGTTGGTGCTCACAGTTCATGATAAGCTAAAGGCTATACAGTCCTGCATCATTAAATAATTCAAAACAAAAATCAGTCATTAATTCACTGTCTTGGGCAATTAGATGAACTCTACATATAATACATTCATAATTCATCATTTCTTTGGATACCATGTGACCATGTGTAATAATTGTTTCACTTAGAAATATTAAAATCTGCACATTCTGAAACTTGTGTGCTGAGTAGGCATAAACAAAGAAAAACAAAAGAGAGTGAGAAATTGCATGGAATCCAAGGTCAGACTGTGTACTGAGTTAGTGGGGAGGAATGTATGTTGTTTTCATAAGCTAACACTTTGCACTATGAAATTGATGACACTGTAACTTCATAACACACCTGTTTATGGCAGTGAAGTAGCACAGTTTGCCATAAATGTGGAACTTCCAACAACATGGAAAGTTAGTTGTCAAGTGAAAGCAAAGACAAATTTCACAAATATTGTAACTGTGTGGACTGTTACACAGTGTTGTAATCTGCTAGGTAATCTGCTTTGGAAGAACATACTGCCTATATCTTCATGGAATGGAGTCAGTATGTACCTCTGAAAAGTTGGTTCCCACCTGCCATAATATAGTATGCGCCAAAATATTCAGTACTAAAATGAAAAGATGAACAGTATTACCTTGTTGTCATCTGTGAGTTTATTTCTCCTGAAAGAAACTAACATACACACTATTAGCGTGTTGTGTTACCATGGTATGTGTAATGTAAGTTTTCGAAGTGTGCACCACCTCGCTGTAGACAGTGTTCATATCGTTCATGCAGATTCACAATCACATTCGCGTAATGCAGGCACAGTGTTTGGCGGATCTTCACAGGTGAACACACTCTCCTTTAACATTCCCCACACGTAGGCATCAGGTGGTGTAAGATCGGGGGAATGGAACAGGTATGGGAAGTCAGTACCAGTTTTCCTGCAGCATGGCTAGAGATTCTTGAGCAGTATGGCTGGTCATCCCATTCTATTGATACCACTGTCCATTCATGTGAAGGCCCCTTGCATGACAGCACCTTCTCAAATCCTGAAAAAATGGTCCCATCACCATGTCCCTGTAGCATTCTTGGGTGACAGTAAGAGCATTGCCTTCCTCGTCCTCAATGAAATAGGGGCCTAATATACCGTGTGCTGAGATGGCACACCATATCATCACAGGTGTACTATGTAGCTGTTTCTGGACAATAACATCTGGCTGCCAAAAACCAAGGAAGGGAGTTGTCTGGCGATTGATGTAGCCATCCAAGTGAATGTGACTTTCATTGGAGAACCACACATTCCTCAAGAAATCTGGATCCTCGTACACCATGGCCAGAAATATTCCACAATACACCATCCTGGCTCACATATCTGACTCTGTCAAGTGTTGTCCAACCTGTATCTGGTATAGAAATCCACCTATGTCCTTAAACAATCGGCGAATGAACGTATCGCTGACGTTCAGTTTCAAGGCCGTTCATTGTGGACTTCGTTGGGGCGAATGCAGCACCTGCTGAAGAACATGTGCGTGATTCTCTTTTTTCGAAACAGTTACTGGTCGACCAGACTTCCCCTTCCATTGACACAGTACACTACCAGAACGGTGATATTTCGTAACAATAGAGAGCATAACTGTGGTACTTGGTGCCGTCTTATTAAATCTCTCTTGGAATTGATCTGTCTCCTTTTTAAAACTCGGTCCTGCTTCATGACCACTTCCATATGAGTGGAAATAATACTCAACTATGAATACTTTTTCCTCCATCGAAAGACCCATTTCCAACAACAACTGCACAACACAACTTCCTTTTCACTACTGGGAACACATGCAGCTGGAGCTATCCCCCTTCAACAAACGCACATGTGCTTTCGAGATGCACGAGTTTCAGTACTGCATTTTTGGGCACATACTTTACAACATGGTGTCATGGTGAAAACCTCAAATCTTACAAGCTTCACAATTGTAGTCATCTCATGATGTTTCATTCTTTCATAATTTAGTATAAAAAGGGAATTCTGAAACCAGCCTACATTTTTCTCTTCCAGAACTCATAAGTGAGAGTTATGTGACACCAGACTCATATTTGCAATCTTTATCTCACATTTCAGTCTGTACATCTAGTTTTCCCTACCATCCTTCTTGTACCTACAACATAAATTTAAAGTCAGTTACAGTACATATGCATAAAAACATAGATAATATGTCTAATTATGATATACAGGTAAACCTATGGTATTTTTTGTAACAACCGAAAGGGGTGGGTTAGCAGGTATCCAGCCAAGTGAACCAAAGTCCACCTGTTCCTTAGGATCTGTTATAGATGATCCAGGGTTAAGACAGGCTTCTTGAGAATCATTTTCTTTCTCCCTTCTATCATCATCAGTGTCAGGTTCCATAAGCATTACTCTTAAAATATTGTTTTATATCCTACCTGTCTCTTGCCTCTCAGATTCCAATTGGATTCACTCTTGATCAAGCTTGGAAACTTGGTGGTTTCTGTGTTCAAGGTTATTTTATGAGTATCATTTGGCATTGGATAAGATTAGAATATGAGCATGTGTTATAATAAAGAAAGGCTGAGTTAGGTAGTGACCGTAGCCAATTTGTAACTATCCCAGCATTTGCCTGGAAACAGGAATGTGATATGAAATCTATATTTGAATAGCCAGAACTGCAGCTTGGATTAAAACTGGATACTCCTCAAATCTAAGCTGGGTGAGTTATTGCTGTTTGATGCCATACCTATGTGGAGTATCATGATGAAGTGGGACTTTCTCAAGTATGAGGCATGCCTATCATGCTTGCTAGTTTAATGGAATTGAACGGTTCCACTGATTATATAGGAGTGTGCATGTTAGAACATGCATGAGTAGGTTATAACTTACCTGCCACACTGTTGATCTGTTCTTTTCTATCCTGAAATGTTTTGAAGCTACCAAGCATGACGTGATGGCTTGTTTTTTACAGGCTGAAAAATACAAAGTCACAGATCAAGTGTATTTTGACATAAGCATTGGAGGTGAGCACAGTGGAAGAATTGTGATTGGATTATTTGGAGATGATGTTCCAAAAACTGTGAAGAACTTTATTACAATTGCATCAGAGGGAATTGATGGTAAAACCTATGCCAACTCAAAATTTCATCGTGTGATTAATAAATTTATGATACAAGGTAAGTGACTTCTTATATTATCTTATGGCAGTACTACATAACCAGGCTGTACAGTATGGTACATAAGATTTTATTACTGACATATTTTTTTTCAGAATTGTACACTAAAAATGATTCTTCACTCTATGAGAGAAGCATATAACAACAGTAGTTTATGACTATTTGTGATAATCTGACCACCAGCACAACAAATGTTTAAAGAAATAAACCAATATTATGTTTACATTGGTTTTATTTAAATAACTGCTACATGTTTTTGTCTATATTTTGGACCATTCTCAGGCAGTTTCATTAAATATGTCTCATGTTATGGAAATATCTTAATGTGGGCCCATATTAGTGTTACTAAGTTACTGAGATTGTAAAAGGAGCTTTAAATTTTAAAATTCTGTGTGTTTTGAAATTAAATTAGTACCATGTGCAATAATGTGTATTCATATGTTGTTTTCATCATAATTTACAAGGTCCATGACATGAGGTCACACTATAATGTGGCATAACAAATCAGTAGCCAAATTCTAGAGTCCAAGATAAATCCACATTGCAAGGATTAACTGAGAGATTGTTAGGCAGATAAGTTTATAATCAGCTCTCTTACATTTGTTATTTATGAATGTAAACACACCAAGCAACATTTCAAGTTCAAATTAAAGAAGGGGGCTGGGGGACAGAATCACATTTCAAAGTAACTAAACATCAGTTTTGGTAATGCCATTTCTTCTGTATGCCATGACTTTGTTGCATTCTGTATGAAATCAGGGTGAGTAGCAGGAAGGTGAGGCTGGCATGAAGGCTTCATTTGTGCAGGCCCTAATTATGTTAAGGTTGAAATAATTAGTCAAAATACATGTTGCATAATAAATCGTCAATATAAATTTATCTGTTACATTACTTTCTTATATTTTAAATAAAAGTAAATAATGAGACACATTAATTCAATTTTGCACTGCAAATCATGTAAACTTTTTTAGTGGATTGATTCTTATATGCTTAACAGTCTGTTAAATATTTCTTGGATTTCTTTAAGTATCTTATATTAATATCTAATTGTTTCTGTGTTTCAGGTGGAGATATTATCAAGCAAGATGGCACTGGTTCTATAAGCATCTATGGGAAATACTTTCCTGATGAGAACTTTAAAATAAAACATACTGCATCTGGTTTCCTCAGCATGGCAAATGCAGGTAACTGCTTTTTGAATATTATATATCAGTATCGTTACTGGTACATACAAGGGCTATTCGGAAAGTAACCTCTGGTGAGCTGTTAACAAAATAAGCAGTGAGAAAAAATTGTATTATATACAGAAATACATACATCCTTAAGCTACTTTTTACTTTTTTAACTGGAATTGAGGCACTTGTCATATTGGGGAATAAGTTTTTGTGTGCGTGTGTCAAAGAAGTCTACTGCCTGCGAGCTCAGCCACGTTTTGACACCTTCCATCAACTCCTCATTATTGTTGAAGCGCTGTGATTCCAACCAGTTTTTCAGGCAGGTGAACATGTGGCAGTTGTTCAGATCAGGGCTGTAAGGAGGGTGGTCAAACAACTCCCAGTTGAAATGCTGCAGCAGTGTTCAAATGCGAGCAGCTGCATGTGGACGCGCATTGTCATGGAGGGGCACTACACCGAATATCAGCATTCCACGCCTTTTTTTCTGAATGGCCTATGGCGTTCTTTTTAATGTTTTGTAATACGCTTCGGACATTATTGTAGTCCCTTGTTGTATGAATTCCAGCATCAGCACTCCTTTCCTGCCCCAGAAAACCGTTGCCATTATCTTTCTTGCAGACGTTTGTTAAGCTTTTTTGGCTTGTTTGGTGGATGTATGTGAATCCTCTGCTTTGACTGCTCTTTGGTTTCAACATTGACAAATGAAATCCAGGTTTCGTCACCTCTTACTCATGCAATGTGATTGAGAAATTCATTGCCATATCTGTTGCCATTATCTTTCTTGCAGACGTTTGTTAAGCTATTTTGGCTTGTTTGGTGGATGTATGTGAATCCTCTGCTTTGACTGCTCTTTGGTTTCAACATTGACAAATGAAATCCAGGTTTCGTCACCTCTTACTCATGCAATGTGATTGAGAAATTCATTGCCATATTTTTGGTATCACTCTAAAAATGTCAAAGCCAAAACCATTTTCTGCATATTATGCACACCTGTGAGCCTAACTGTGATAATCTTGTAAAGAACAGTGCTTGAAATGTGTAGAAATTCACACAAAGGTTCTGAAGTTGTGAAGCACCATCTTTCACAAATTTTTTGGTCAACATTTTGAACAAGATCATTACTCACTGACCACTTCACTCTTAATCGTGAACATTCGTTTGCCCACCCACCTTTGAACATTGTACACCATTGTCTTACAATTCCTTCATTCATTACATTTTGGCCATAAAGGACCCATAATTCACGATGGATTTCCACAGCACCCATGTTTTTAGCATGAAGAAAGCAAATTTTGCTGCTTGCAGGATTATCAATCACAGGACATATCATAACTCACTCTATAGAGGCAAGAACAAATACTAGGTGACCAGTTATGCAATGATCTATGAGGCAATGGGTCATGTGACACTACCTCATATGGGTGAGCTCTTCCCTGCTCCTACATTAGTTGCCTTAAATAAACAGAGGTAACTTTCTGAATAGCCCTGATAGAACTTAAAACATTGCCTATCTGTGGTGTGCCATGAAGCAGAAATTGGAGAGATTTTTATCTTCAAGTTGTTGTGTTGTAAGACAGCATTAGAAGCACAGATTTCTCTATAGATCAGTAACTGCTTCAGTTACAATGAGACATGTCTTTAGCAAAGATCAATGGAATGTATCCACATGTTGCAATAAGTTTCATAGCATGACAGCAAAGAAACATTGTGCCTTTAATTTTAATTTCATGTATACTATAATTAATATGTTGAGGTTAATAATTAATTAATATCTGAGGCATAGCAGGATTAGACAGTTACCAGAACTAAATGTAGACAATGTTAACTGACAACGATTATTTTCTGCTCTTCAGGAAAGGACACCAATGGCTGTCAGTTTTTTATCACTACAGTGGCAACTCCGTGGCTTGATGGTCACCATACGGTTTTTGGCAAGGTATGAATTCTGTAAGCCTGCCAGCACCACCTCATATTATGGTGCAATGATTTGCACTCTTGGCTAAACTGACTGAGATGTTTGCATGGTTTTCCTCAGTTTCTGCAAGCTAATTCTGAGATAATGTCTTAGAATAGGACATGGAAACATCCACATCTTTCCAAACTTACTGGTAGTCATCCTGATATTCAACAATCATTCATAAACTTATATGGAATCTTGAAGCCATGCCAATTGGTGGACTGGTATGAACCTGTCAAGGTTGCCAGTAATTTGGAGTTCTCTGTTCTGGAGTCACTAAAGTATGTGATTCCTAAGCGTCAAAGTCAGAATTACTTAATGACTGGCAGTTTACCATCAATCAGTGCATCTTGGCACCAGGCCCTTGAGACCCATGACCAGAGATATTTTTAATTGAATTCTTGCAGTAATAGTCCTTATGTGATATCCTCTCTGACGAGAAATATGAAAATGATATTTGAAAGAATGAAGCAGCTTGAGTTTATTGCAATTTCATCCATAGGATAAACCAGATCAACCAAACTACAAAGGAATTAGGCTTTTTTCCCTCATCTTTTCTGTTTCATGATCATGCTTCTTTTGAAATTTTCAGTAAGTACTATTCTTAATAAGAATAAGTTATTGTTTATTCGTTTTTTCAATGCAGACATGTAAACAGTATGAATTTCTGATTGGGTAGCTTAATTGAAAAGAATGTACTGCTTCAGTTGGATCACTATAGCCAAAGATTCTATATAAAATGGAGGCCAATATTTTACTAGTTTATGATACCGAAATTATCTCATTGTAATAAATTGTATTTTGTGTTTCAGAAACATGTTTGCTAGTACTCTCACACTTGGTTTCAGGGTAACAGTCTAAATATACATGTGCTGCCAGATGTGGCTTTTGACAAGTTTGCCAGTATGCCTAAGTTGTCTGCCTGTATGCATACTGATGCATACTAACTGACAAAAAGCACTGTTAATAATATATCCCCATTGCATGCTTTTTAATGTGGCTGTAGTGTTCTTTGGGCTTTCATTTAATTAAATGCATATCATGGAAAGTGGAACACTGAAAAAGCCTGCTAAAATATATAGTTATGACCAAATTTGCCTGATATTTATGCATAAAGAAAGTTATCATTTTTATTGCTGTTGCAGGTAATTGATGGCCAGGCTGTAGTCCACAAGATTGAGCAAGTGAAAACTAATTCAGATGATCAACCTGTGAAACCAGTTGTCATCATGGAATCAGGCATTGTGCTCACCCCAGCACCCTTCTACACATCTGATAATTCTTATGAGTAAATAATACCTGCTTGCTCATTTTGCTGAGTTTGTGTATGCAAGTAGTTAGTTAGGCACCCTTCCTTGTTCTGCACTTAGGTAGTTGAGGAGTATTTCCCTCTGCAGGAAATGGTGCTCTCTTTATATGCTGGGGTACTGAAACAAATGCAGATAACATTATATGGTCACTTTATTTATAAAAAAGTTCATTCTTATTGCTCATATCTATGTTAGTTGTAAGTGATATTGATATTGTATGTGACTGACTCTTTGTAACTGATATACCTTAACTTTCATAGCTTGAAACAGGTTTGAGTAGAAATGATTCATATGTTGAAACTAAAAATTTTAAATTGATATGATTTAAAAATTTGTAAAAAAAATCATTGGACACCAGAAGACCAGTTAATACAGAACATATCACATCACAGCTCTTGGAGAAACTGCCGTTGTCTTTAAAATACATTACCGTCTTCGTTGTTTATAAGAAGAAACATATCTTACCCTATCTTTAGTTTGTTGCTCCTCCCAAGCTTCCAAACCATATTTGTTTCAACTGAAACTGTTCCACTGTCTAGTAGTACTTTTATCTTTAATTTTGTAATGTTTAATGTTATCTTTATGTAGTGTCATCAGTCAAATGTGTGAATTTTATCCTAATGAAAGCTGGTATGACTGTGAAAGAAGACTGAAGAATATAAGAAATTATACAGTTACAAGAGCTTGTTTCAACAAAATCAAAATTTGCCAATTAGATTAATTTTGTGCAGTACATCCAACTGGTAAATGTATCAAATTTTTAAACAGCTTGGAGAGTGTTAGCACATAATACAAGATAACAGTTTCTATTTTGTATTGCGTGCAAAATGGCATTTATACTGTCTCATCCATTTTTTACATCTGAAAATTATTTAATTAATTTTATGTGTGTGTATGTATATATATTAAAATACATTTTGTATGTTTATGAATAAATTGAAGGACTTTCAGCTGAAATCTGTAGTGTATTTCTTATAATGTATAGTAGTTTCTTAAGTTGGATGCTTATCTTGAGGCACCTGTTGTTGAATCTTAGTTTTTACAATGTCTTCTTAAGGTCCTAGGGTATGTAGTGCCAGACAGGAAGATTATTTGTGAGTAAATTGGAGCATATGCCTAAAGGAGGTGAGGAAAGCCATGAACACTTCAGGATAGCCAGCTTTCAGGTTGAAATCTGAACGTGGAACCTTATCAGGAGTGCTAACCACTCAATCTTGATATTTGATGTTTAAAAAATATGTAAATAGCAAGTGTATTGTTTCAATTGGTATCTTATCTCACTGCCACCACTACTACTACTGCATACAGTGGTCACGGGTGTCATTCCGAAAATAAAAGTACTAGGCAAGTCCAGCATGCAGTTCCAATCCGCTGTAAATCGGAACATGTTTAGGGATGAATTGCTAAGGATATTATAATAGATTTGATAAATGCATTGCCAGGCAACGACTCTATAAACCCGATCCAACATGCAGCAATATAAGAAGCTGTGTTTTCTGTAGATCCGACTGACGCACAAATAAACTAGCTGGAGGGCAATCATGTGATATGTGTTTACAATAGGTCCATGTTTGTTCTTCTGCTATATATGTAAGAGTGACAGAATTCATTCAACGCAGTTATGAGTGAGTAGCAGCGGCAGAAGCACACAAACAAGAGGATAGCAGTAAGCTGTAGGAGTACAGCAAGCAAACAGTAAGCTTGAGGAGTGCAGAAGGGGATACAGGAAATCAGCATGTGGATGTTTAACATGTGATTTGAAGACTTTGTGTGTGCTGTAGTACAGTGATATTGGGGGGTTTGTGACTTAGGGAGACTTTTATAGTTCCTATGTTATAAATCCATGAAGACTAATGGAGATAAACTGAAGAGATTAGTGTGGAGTGCTTTGTAGTGTGAAAATCAGTAAAGGTGTTATAATTAATTGTAGTTACAACCTGTAAGTATGAAATAAATGTAATTACCGGTCTGAACCCTGTCTTTAGTCACTGTGACAGGTGACGATATGGAAACTTTCCCTCCAACTGGAACATCTGTGATTGTGTTTTCTGGGAACATATATTCAGGAGTAAACATAATGTGTGAGGCCAAACTGTATGTTACATTTACAGTAAATACGTAGTTTCAGTTTTAGCAATTAAATTTATTTCTTTTAATACCTCTATTATATTTTAGCATCCTGATGCATTGATACAACCCTTATGCACTTGTTTCCGTCTCTGAAGCAACATAAACTTTAATTTTAAAATGTCATTACAATCACATTTACATTTCTTAAAATGTGATTAAAGTCACATCTTATTTTATCTTTGTGACATGTTTTAGCCTGTAAGGCAATCCTCAGGCAGCTGTTAATTGATCGAAACTACCGAACTGTATCAGCTCGCGTGTCAATATATTGCATGTCATTGATTGAGAATGTTTGCCGTGCTTCACTCACGCTACCTTCATATTGCAGCTTCCGCACTGTGTTCTTTTTGTGGATAGCTGTCCCTAGTCGGGCGTGTATCCCTTGTATTTCTTGTAATTTATTTAAAAATCTCCTAAAATTAAATCCTTGATTAACAATGTTACTACCACATATTCACATAAATTTCTATGATTATTACAAGATTCCTAATTGCTGTTAACAGCAGTCAGAGATCAGTCTATGATTGATTGATTGATTGATTTCGTCACTGTAGATCATTGTACATGATAAAGGACAAGTCAAGTTAATTCTGAATATTAACAATTTAATATACGAGTAAGATTAAAATTACAGTAGTTACAATTGTTTACAGTTGATTACAATTTAGAATTAGATATTCTTATTTGTGGAGAATTTGATGGAATGAAACTCTAAGTGTTACTCTAAGAAACTAAGGATTTTATGAAACTATTTCTTGACATATATTGTTTAATATTGCATTGTTCCTATGTTTCATTTGTTTCTTTCCTTGCATGCTGCAGTTTATTGGACTGGATCCGAGCCTCATCTCTTCCACTTGGACTCTCATTTTCAATTCTTGGTTTCTTCCACTGGGTAATGAAAAAGTTAGAAATTTGAGGGGCATCCTTGGTTAAAAACTTCCAAAAGGTTTTATTCTAAGTTGTTAGTATGCAGTGATTAACAAGGCTTAGTATACTTAGAAATCTGTATTCTTCACCTTTTGATATTTTATTCTTAAGAAGAATGCTGGAGGCATGTTTTAGAATAGCTTTTATATGCATATGTACCTGTAATTATGATTTCATTGTACATTTGCTTGATGAAAATAGTATTTTTGAAGGGAAACTGTGGTTCTCTCTGCAGTTCACTCCAAATTGGCATTTGAAGCTTTAAGTGAATTTATGACATTCCCTTCATGTTCAGTAACCATTATTGTTGGATGTTTTATTCTCTGAAGTCTCTATGGCAGTAATTGTGCCATAAATAAATATGGAAAAAACAGATTTCAATGAAAATTAGCGTACTTGAGTATTTGTTTTCTTTTGCATATAATTCTGTTCCATGCTGTACTTCCTGAAATTTTTCTGAGAAAGGATATTTCTGTCACAGGTGAAAATTAAGCCTGAATATTGCATGAGCAGGTACAGATTACTTTAATGGTCTGCTGGAAAAGAGTAAAAAAAGAAAGAGGAGGAGGAATACTGAAAATGTGTGGTGCTCAGTAAATGCAGTGTGTATGTGTACCATGAATTTGGGGTTTCTGATTAAATTATAAACACATAAGTAAGTGTACAACATGTTTTTTTTTTTTTCTGTCTGGAACTCCTTGTCCTAAATGCAAATATGTTGAATTCGCTTGGAATTCCATTGCAAGTACAGTATGTCTTACTATATAATCAATTATATCACATGAGAATGATATCATCTCATTTACGCACATGAAAAAGTCATTATATTTTATTCTACAGCTGACATTTGTAAACAGAAGTGATAAAAAGCATTCACTGCAGAGTACACAATTTATAAGGGAGGAATGTAAACAATGTAGTATGAATGTTGGCAGTACAGTCTAATATTACACTGTGCTATCACTGAGAAACGGGATCCACATTAGCATGAGTGGCCATAGAAGCCTGGAATCTTTTGTAAGTAAGGTACATTGCTTGTCTGTAGAATAAACTGCCCTTTGGGCTCTGACTTACTAAAATGCATGTTATTCTATACAATCTGGTGATAGCATAGCATGAATCAGTTAACAGACTTTGTTACTGGAGTTTGAATTTGGTGACAGTGTGCCATGTCTGGTTGTTTGACCAGCAACATAGTCTATAAAGTGAGATACAGTGTGCAATATAATAGGGCATGTTAACAATGAAGAGCATTTGGTGGGGGGGGGGGGTTAAAATTCAGACAGTCTATTCTCTTTTCTACATTTTTCACAGTTCTTCTCAACTGCTTAAGACGATCTAAAATGATGGTATAGAATAGGCAGATACTTCTCCCCATCATTCATGCAGACAGAAGAGTGAAATATCATAAATAATTTGCAGTGTTCACTTGGATATGGTCATTCAGAGTAAACATAGTTCATACATTTTCTTTATTAAAACCATCACAACACAACTATATTAAGGTCAGTGCCTAGTTTGGCTAGTTTGGTTGGTATGTCCGGTGTGGTTCACAACCGAGCAGCAGCCTGTGTTGCGGCCGGCGGTGTCATTTTCGAAAATCAACTTTAAGCACCAATCAATTCAAATTAAAGGTAATTTCACGAAGTTAACTTTACATTCATACTTTAAATGTATCATGTATTACGCTGGTTTATTATTTTGTTCCGTTTATTGTCAGTAATCTTTACCTTCTGTTATGAGTTTAAAACAGCCATAACTCCGTAACCATCCAAAATCGGACACATGTTTATATGAACTTTTTTGATCACAAAGACCTAGGAAATCACCTCCTGCAGTTATGCCCTAAAGTCGTGAAACACCCTGTATGTTGAGCAAATTTGGAGCTTTGTCCGTTATTTATTATGTCTCGTATGTGTTCTCTGAATCTGACCTTAAAGGTACATCTGGTCTGTCCTACATATTTTAATGGACAGTCAGCACATTGTAGTTAGTAAACCCCACTAAGATTATACTTATCATTTCTGTCATCATTTATTTTTAACAGATGTTTTATATTGTTTTGTCTTATATGAGATACCAACTTCAGTATTCTTGAAAATGTTAGTAATAGATCTGATTTCATGGCCGAAATAGGTAAATGTGGTCCATTTCTTTTTGTGCATAGTACTTTTGTGGAGGGTTTTTGTGTTAGTTGTATGGTATTCAGTGGGTAGTTATTATTTAGTATAGTTCTAACAATGTTTTCTTCTATGTTTTTATTGTTATGCAAAGGGGGATATTGATTCAATCAGTTAATGAGAAAGTTTATAGAAGCTTTTTTGTGTTCAAATGGGTGACATGAATCATTGCAGATGATTAGATCAGTAGTTGTAGGTTTTCGATAGATTCCTAGTTGTAGCTTTTCGTATATTTTCTCGATGGATAACTCAAAGAAATTTATTGTATTATTTATTTCTTTTTCCATTGTGAAATTGATATTAGGGTGGATATTGTTGAATTCATACAAAGTATTTTATGATTAAAATATTGTCACTGTATCTATAATTATCTATTATTTGGTATTTCGTCAAAATATCAATGATAGTTGTATGTTCGAGGTATTGTATTTCAGTACCAAAATCAGTTTTTAATTATAACAAAATTTAATACTGTCACTTTCATATCATTTTCAGATTAACATTAATATTACTACATCTACATCATGAGCCTCCAAAACAGTTTATTATATATACCAAAATATAGAATACTCCAATTTGTCCATGGGAACACAACAAAATCACAAAAAACAAACAACCGACTCAGTGATGTAAACCATCACTCGAAGAATTTTATTCTTGTTTTATACTATAACTTTTGTTTATATAATCTAATTTATTGTGTTTTTATGCCAAGTATTTTAATATAATTAATATTATTGTATCAAATATTATTAGTACTGCAGTTCAGTGGGGTATATATGTTAGTGTATTTGCCTGATGATGGCTTTTAATAGCTGAAACATGTAGCAGAGCCAAACTAGGCACTGACCTTAATATAGTTGTGTTGTGACGGTTTTAATAAAGAAATTATATATTATAACACAACAGGATGCATGAAATGAAAATTATTCATACAAGCAATTTTTTCCTCCATGTCTATCATAAATTTTGGATTTGGGTAAATAAGTCTGCATTTTCTCTTCCTTTTTAATGCAACTAATGATGTGCATGACCAAATGAAAATTATCTTCATTTTTATTTATGTATAGTTTATTCAAGGATGTTATCAGTGAGTTACGAATTGTGAAGGATGTGGAAGTGGTTATGACCTGATTAGAAGAACTGTTTCAGCATTTGCCTGGAGGAGCCAAGGAAGGCCACAAAATCCCTGTCAGGATAGTAGGTGTCTTTGCCAAGATTCAAACTGGACACCTTGTGAATATTAGTGAGATGAGGTGCTGTTTGAGCCAAACTGCGATTAGATCCCTGCAAACTAACAAGTAATTCAATTTATATCTGTGCGCGCATGTGTGCACACTATATATATATACACATGTACATACAGCCCTCCCCCCCCCCCTCTTTCACCTAAATAATATTAGCCAATATTCTCACACTTGGTTTTAGCCTCAAGGTTGAATCATTAAATGCTCCAGCAGATGTGTGACTTTTGACTTTGAAAAGTTTGCTGCTATCTATACAGGCACGTATCAGTAAAACCATTATATATATATACACTCATACAAATATACAACTCTTGGTTTATTGCCAGTCACAGGGGTTGCTTCCTGTAAAACCATGTTATGTTAAAGACTGCTTGAATCCTGAGATCCTTATTGCACTCTCACTTGGGAAATGTATGTGAGCATTTTTCTGATTTTTCTTGTCTGATATTGGTAAAGGTCTTGTGATGTGCCAATCTATCTTCCAAGTATGTCCTTCAAAATCTCTAAAAGAGTCACACTTTCTTAAGTAAATTCTGATTTGTATCAGGCTGGAAGGTCTAATAGATGAATGCTGAAGCAGAGGAAGGCTTATTAACCCCATTGACATCTTCCGATTTCCAGTTGTCATTCATCTTTAGCCATCCATTGTCCTTCCCCTGATCCTTTCCTTGTAATTGCATCACAGGCTTCCTTCATTCACCTACTCTAGGCTTTCCTCCTGCCACAATGACTTCTTGTTTTCCGTTTTGGTCCCGCTAAAGTTACTGTTGTATTTATCAAACATTCTTTGTTAGCTCACCAGAACCAGTGTGCATCATTTGAGCACTATGTTCGAGTCACAAGACCATGCCATAGTTCAGGTGGTTAGTCACTGGCTTCCAACTGTGGCAGCCTGGGTTCAAACCCAGGTCAAAGGGATTTGTGGTAGACAAAGTGGCACTGGGGCAGGTTTTCTCCAAGTACTTCGGTTTCTCCACATCCTAGGTTTATTGCCTGTATGGATATATGGAATATGAAGGAAATGAATGAATGAATTCTCATTCCACCAACTGCACACTCCATACTAATCTATCATCTGGGGCTGGTGCAATAGGCCAGTTAGTGGCTGACAAACCAAGTGGATTCAGCCTCACCCCCCCAAAAAGTAAAAAATTAATGGTCGAGTCACATGAGGTACGGAATATCCGTATATAGCAAAATAATGGGAAATCTCACAGCTGAGCCAATAGTGAGAGTAGCAGCACAGAAAAAGGATTTGTGGCTTCCCATAATAATGGAATACTGTACAGAGAGGAAAGCTGTATTGTGGAATGTTATGCCATGTAGTCTGCTAGACGCTTGGCGACATTTCGGAAGAATATGCTGCCTCCATCTTCAGGGTAGCAGGGAAAGCCAAGCAAGCAATTCAATTTGTACTGCCTTCTAGCCCTACATGTAGGAATGGTGTATCAGTCATAGCTTTACCGTGTTTTCTGATACAGCAGCAAGAATTTCATTGGCTGTTCTGGGCATCTTCACGTATTTTAAGAGTACTATATATATGCGAACTTTGTTTTTGTTTTGTTTTGTTTGTTATACTCTGGGATGTAAAGCCATGTGCAAATCATACATTTGCTTCTCGAACGAACTCCGGAAATTACACGTACGTTATACTTCTTCTAACGAACTCTATACTGAATCTTTGTAAACTCTGAATACATGACAGTCTATTTAAAATAAGTGACTACTAATTATTGATGAAAATTTTAGTACATTTTATAGTATTTGCTCTGGTGTACAATTTGTTGAACAGAAAATGTCAAAAGAAAATAAAAGGTGGGGGATGGTCGATTACCGGAACTGCTGGTCACGAGTTGCTCTTGCGTGCAGGCTATGAGCTGTCTGTTTTCTCTTTCACTTTAGTGCATTATTTCAGCAATTGGACGTTCGGTAGAGTTCTGTAGGAAGTGAATTTAATATCATGGATCTTAAGATATTACTCCTGATATCGTTTTCGTGTATATTTTCTCTTTCAAATGGTAAGAATGTAGTATACAAATATATTTGCGTATGCATTGTAAAGTTAATATGAAAGTTGAGTACAAAGTTTAAAATGCTGCTTCCCGTTGGTGAGCACTGCCGAATGACAATTTAGAAAGGTATTTTGCAATGTATCCATAAATTTTGATCGACGTCTGTGTAGAATACATATATCAGTGTAGGGTTTCCTTTATGGCATACGTTATGACGTCACAAGCATCCCATCCCATGTAAGCAGGATGTGTACAATATATCACATTAAGAAAGTATGAAGAAATGCGTACTAGTTTCAGCACACTACAGTACTGTAGATATGATCCCATAATACATTTGTATTAGTTTCTTGTTAGATATACTGTATAGTTAGAAATAGCTAAAATTCGACTGCACTAAAAATATGCATCAAATTGAAGGAGTTCCACACACACAAATCACTGCCTATATATCATATATAGGGAAGTTACTTGAAAGCCTGCTGCAAATGGTTTGGCTATTCCAGTGACACAAGCTCCTGAATTCACCTCTTCCCATGCACGTTAATACAGACACCTCCATAAAATGTTTATATTCATGCAGTGTGAAGTTATGTTTTAAAAATAGAGTGAACTTTAAATAGAATGTTAAATCCAATCTAAATGCAAGGTGTGTGACGGTTGTTTTAGGGGGATGTTCAACGCAAACACCAATTTCATCCCATTTCTCAGTGTTTTGATTCAGTTTTTTCGATCAGTAATATCCTGCCTAAATTTATGTATGGTTTTATGAATTTTATGGTATTCTGAAAATTGTGCTGTAATCTTTTTCCTTGGGGTCACACTGCATGCAAATCCATGTGAATTAGAGTTGGCATAAACTTTTAGTGTCTTCACATATGAGGGGGTACCCAAATGACTGCGTATGTTATACGCAGTCACAGGAGTAAGACACAACACAAAGCACAATACACATGAAAGTAGGAAGAATACTCTGACAGAAGAAGATAGGTGTGACTCGCGTACTGAAATACGACATAAGGATAACAAATCCTGAACAGTTTCAACATTTTTAATATTTAGCAATATATATGATGAATATATATTTTAGTTATTTTATTATAAAGACAACAGGGCATGCAATGCAGTAGATCAACGTACACCGAAAAGCACCTGAAGATGTCACTTTAGTGCTGAAACATGTAGTGCAAGAGAGAAGAGTAAGGTGAATAAATGTATGCACTGTAAGAGGGTCAGAAAAATCATGGACATAAATCAGTGCAACAGGACGCTAAAATATAACATTACCCCATCGTAAACTGTCAGACCTTTATAACTGTATAACTGGTCACAGTAGAAACAAATTGTGTGACATCGCTTAAAATCATGTTGAGACAAGTTGGCTTTTTGTGTTAGTAACGGTTGTTGAAGTTCTGATAATTTGTGTCTCTAAAGAAAGATCTTTATGGAATGTAAAGAGTAAACATTATCATAAGGAAATTGTTGGCCCAAATTGGATAAATGTTCCAAGCAACCAAACGTTTCCATAAACAAATGTAATATATTGTCATGACAGATACAGAATGTTGAACTGTTGAATGCTTTCTTCATTGTTGAAATAGTTTTCAAATGCTTGTGTCATGTTGTATTCCTGTTCAGCTGGCATGTTTTATGGTCTTGATTCCTTTACAGTAGGCATGCTTACATTTTGAGGTACCTGAGATTTTGATATATCAAAGCATGAATTTCTTTTATCAGTATTATATAAGGAGCATATACATTTTGCAGTTAAATCAGCTGTATTAGGTTATTTTTAGTTCAGTTATTGAGTAACCCCCTTTTGGCTGCAGTTATTCTGAATGTATATTTCACCGTTGTATGCCTGTAATTATAGATATCTGCCTACCTTGATAAATTTCTTCCTCGGTAAAGCTTCATCAGATATATCTTTAAAGGGAATGTAGCACCATATAATAACATGTGAGGAAGAACGATTCATTTCTCATATTTTTATTCTGTTATGACTTGTATAATTTTCTGGAGAAATTTTCCCCATAATATTCATATTTTTAGGCTACAGGAAAAGGTAAACTAATTCTAGAGGTAGAGACTGTTGCAGGAAATTGTTTAAGAAACTGGAAAACAGAGAACAGTTTAAATGTAACTCTGAGATTCATAGTATTAATACAAGACACAATAACAATTTCCATTATCCAGTATGTAATTTAACAGTGTTCTAAAAAGGAACGTACTATTTTAGAATCAACGTTTTTAATAATCTTCATTCTAGCATAAAGAACTTAGCTCATGACATGAAACAATATAGATTTGCTTTAAAAATATTTCTACTTTTAAAATCATTTTACATATTGGAAGAATATTTTAACTTCAACATTAATTAATGGTCTTGGNAACTGGCATGCGGAATGGTTGCAGAGTAATCCTTTTTATTTCACATTATGTATAGTGTCTCAATGCCATGTGCTGTTCTGAATGGAAAGTCAAGTGATCAGAACCCAAGACCAGTTGCCAAAATCACCATCCCATGATAGCCAGCATGGTATGTGTATCAGTTACTCCTCCCGCCAGCCAAACGAAAGAAACTTCCAGAACATTCTCAGTCTGTAGAATGGTGTGGAAGTTTCAGGAAAGATTTAGATATAAAAGGCTCTAGAAATATTATGTCATTCAAGAGTATTTAAAGGGTGTTTTTGGATGGTGCTGGGTATTGCTGACTAGTTGTGGAGGTTGTGATACGAGAAATATTAGAAGATTGCTGAGTGTTCCTGGCAAGTTGTGAACAGTACAGTTGTGTACCAGAGTAATTGTGAATGCAGTCTCCTACATCCAGAAGTATATGTCAGTGTTATAACAAAATATCAGCCTAAAAGGACTGATTTGTGTAACATCATGTAGTGCTATTAACAGTAAATTACGTTCATCATTTTCACTGGTAATGTGGTCCCGGGACTTCTTCGGTGAACCCTCTCTCATTGGAGCAACGCCTATTAAGCCTTGAGTAGAATCCTCATGCTTGCTCCTTAAACATTATCCCTGTTTTCATCCACACATCACTCCCAATATTTTTGATGTGGTTTTTTAAGATAATATGATGCTCTGTTATGGACGAGACATGAGTAGGAGGAAGAAGGCAAAGAAGAGCATGGTTAGAAGTGTGAAAGAAAGGTTTAAGTACAAGTAATTCTATTTTAGTTGTAGTGAATCTGAAAAGGCAAAATAGAAAAATTTGCATAATACTTCTTAGGCATGAGTTTAAGAAAAAGCAGACAAAGCAAATACTCTGATCATGATAGGGGGAGAAAACTGATAGCTCCTGGCCCTGTTTCAACACTTCACAGTTTCTCTTGAATCATAAGACTCCACAAGGCATGTGGGTGAATATTCCAAGAGACTTTAGACATGCTGATGATGAGAATAGTATCGGCACTGAGATATAAGAAAACTGAAGTGAAAGGAGTATGTCCATTGAAACAATTCTTGATAGGATAAAGTCTGAAATACCCAAGGTCTGGGTTGATCTGTGACAAACACGTGCACGCAAGAGTGAAGACATGCTAAATAATAAACATAACAAAAGATGTAGGAAAGTATTCAAGGTAGGTTACACTGGGAATGGATGGAAAAAGTTTGTAATTTTTAAAAGCAGGGTAGTTTAAACAAGCTGTGTAGCAAGATAGTGATTACCAATTTTTGTTAAGTTTGTTACTGTTTCTAACATATTGCTTCAAATAGAAAAACGTCTGTTCATGTGAAATTATATGTGGTTTCTATTGAAGAGACAGAGTTGTCTTCAGCATTACCAGTACTAACATCAGCTCCTTCCCCTACAACTGATTCATACTGCAGCAGTACAAACAATACTGAATTCATAATCATTGTTGTAAGAACTTGGTGACTTACATTATTTTACAGGTTTTCAGAAACAGAGAACTGTGTGAAACAGGTAATGTTCATATACTTTGCCCTCCATGTGGAAAGGCTAAGTCATGCTAAACTACATATGAGAAACAAACAGAAGAAACAAATCCATTTTAAAAATGGGAAAGCAATAAAAATACATGAATGTGTACAAATTTAAAATTTAATAATAACATATTTAGTATTTTATGAAGCCAAGGAAAAAAGTCTGAACAGACTTTCTTTTTACTTTTCTTGATACAGCTATGCCATGCCGTGCTATGCCAAAGATCACTCAGTCCTTGACTGAACGTGCCACTCAGCCCCATGCTTGGGTCATCTGTAACAGGAATGTCCACTTCTCAAACAAATCATAGGCTTCAGACATCCTTTTCATCATCTTCTGTGTCCTGCTTTCGTTGCAAGAAATCAAGATTCTCATTAGTCATCTCATCACTGTGTGATTCCAGTGTCTCATCTGCTTTCCTTTGGGCTGTTCCAAAATCTACAGTTGGATTTCAGAAACACTGATATGTTCCTGCTGAGTGTGAATGCACCCAACCATGTACTCTGCCACACATTGTTCAATGTAACCTGAGGAACTTCCCCTCAGTGTGTCTCAATGTTTCTGGCCTATGTGATATTGTAGCCACTGCAGGAGTTGTGAGTTGCTGGCATGTCGTCGCTGTCTCATAGAGCAGTTGTTGTGTTTTCTGAAGATAATAGGTCTTGATCATGACTGTGACCCTTACTTCATCAGTTGCCACACAGAGAGCATATTTGGCAGCATGAGAATGACTTATATATCAAGTTATGTCTTGTGGGATCTAATGCAATGTAAGTTGGTAGAAGTTCACTAGTTCAAACTTCTCTCCACCTGCTTTTTGCAGGTTACTTCCATGGTCAAATCTTCAACCTTAAAGGTGGAGGCAGTATTTCATGTGAAATGTTTGTCAGCTTCTACTGAACTGAATGACATTCATCCCAGAAGATAATAGTCTTTACAGTGACCACTGTTGAGAATCTCATCAGGCACATCTTTCAAAAGAAGCAAGGTCCTGCTATAGGGATTTCCTTACAGTATTTCTTGAAGAACGGAGAGGAAAACGGTGTAACTTAATTCTGTAACAGTCACATACCATTTGTCATGAAACTTTGTATATCATGCAGTGTTTGACCATATCAGTAGCATGCTTCATAAATCTTTTCATCAGTAATAGCAACACTGAAGCCTCTCACATTGTTGAGATAGTAACCTTAATTTTACTTGAATGCCTGAACTGATTGCTGTTATTGCCATATCAGTGGCATATTTTATAAATCCTTCCTGGCTGGAATGCCAGCACTGCAGCCTCTCAAATTGTATTATTTTGTTGACTTCATTACACTACATACTAAAGTATTTTTCTACTTGAATCAAATACCAAAACTGTAGTGAAAGTAAGCAATCAGTTCTTCCCCAGAACGTCTTGTTTTAATTACATCTTTAATACACATGTTCAAGATGATGCTTCAGTTGTTTACTGATACGCTGTGTATAAATTGTGTTTATTATAATCTATAATACAATATAAATTATGTTTCAATACACAGGTGTAGATAATAGCCCAGTGTCAGGGCCACCGCAACCCATCCCTACTGCTACAAGTACAACTGTAAGCCCAAACACCACTGCAGCAACTAGTACTACTACTGAAACCCCAACAACATCATCTACCATCAAGACGACGACCACCACCACCACCACCACAAAAGCCACCACCATAACTTCAACAACTTTGCCTACAACTTCCGTACCAACATCCACATCAACCCCCAGGCCTACACCAAAACCAACACCAACACCAAAACCAGATGTAGGCAAGTGGAATGTAACTGACAAGAACATAACCTGTATCTTGGCTGAAATGGCAGTTCAATTTAACATCACATATACTACTACAGAGAATACAGTAAGTAAGCAGTGTTTGAGGCAACTAATGATGTACAGTACTGTGTTCATTCGCTGCAAGGTAAAATGATTACATTGTAATGTTAAAAAGGCATGTATTAGTTGTTCAGCACAGACTATTTGGGGGTTAATTGTAACGTGAAATAGGAATTTTCCATCCGTTGGTATGTTATACAGTCAACTCTCGATTATCCAGGATAATGGTGGGGATGGAAATCACGATTAATCGAAAACCTGGTTAAGACTAATTTTATTAAAAGTAATACTGTAATACTGTACCTTCATAATACTATGGGCCTACCTGTATTTAAATTTATTCAACCTCATTAATAATGTTATATTTTAGCGTCCTGTTGCACTGATTTAAGTCCATGATTTATTTCAACCGTCTTCCAGTGCATACACTCATCTATCTCCTCCTCTCACTCGCACTACATGTTTCGGCACAAAAGTGACATCTTCAGGTGCTTATTCAATTTACGCTATACTAGTTCATTGCATGCCTTGTCTTCATATTAAAATAACTAAAATATATATTTATCATATATATGTTAAATGTTAAAAATATTAAACAATTTTAATATTTTTAACATTTAACATTTATCAATATATATGATAAATATATATTTTAGTTATTTTAATATGAAGACAAGGCATGCAATGAACTAGTTTAGCGTAAATTGAATAAGCACCTGAAGATGTCACTTTTGTGCCGAAACATGTAGTGCGAGTGAGAGGAGGAGATAGATGAGTGTATGCACTGGAAGACGGTTGAAATAAATCATGGACTTAAATCAGTGCAACAGGACGCTAAAATATAACATTATTAATGAGGTTGAATAAATTTAAATACAGGTAGGCCCATAGTATTATGAAGGTACAGTATTACAGTATTACTTTTAATAAAATTAGTCTTAACCAGGTTTTCGATTAATCGTGATTTCCATCCCCACCATTATCCTGGATAATCGAGAGTTGACTGTATAACATACCAACGGATGGAAAATTCCTATTTCACGTTACAATTAACCCCCAAATAGTCTGTGCTGAACAACTAATACATGCCTTTTTAACATTACAATGTAATCATTTTACCTTGCAGCGAATGAACACAGTACTGTACATCATTAGTTGCCTCAAACACTGCTTACTTACTGTATTCTCTGTAGTAGTATATGTGATGTTAAATTGAACTGCCATTTCAGCCAAGATACAGGTTATGTTCTTGTCAGTTACATTCCACTTGCCTACATCTGGTTTTGGTGTTGGTGTTGGTTTTGGTGTAGGCCTGGGGGTTGATGTGGATGTTGGTACGGAAGTTGTAGGCAAAGTTGTTGAAGTTATGGTGGTGGCTTTTGTGGTGGTGGTGGTGGTGGTCGTCGTCTTGATGGTAGATGATGTTGTTGGGGTTTCAGTAGTAGTACTAGTTGCTGCAGTGGTGTTTGGGCTTACAGTTGTACTTGTAGCAGTAGGGATGGGTTGCGGTGGCCCTGACACTGGGCTATTATCTACACCTGTGTATTGAAACATAATTTATATTGTATTATAGATTATAATAAACACAATTTATACACAGCGTATCAGTAAACAACTGAAGCATCATCTTGAACATGTGTATTAAAGATGTAATTAAAACAAGACGTTCTGGGGAAGAACTGATTGCTTACTTTCACTACAGTTTTGGTATTTGATTCAAGTAGAAAAATACTTTAGTATGTAGTGTAATGAAGTCAACAAAATAATACAATTTGAGAGGCTGCAGTGCTGGCATTCCAGCCAGGAAGGATTTATAAAATATGCCACTGATATGGCAATAATAGCAATCAGTTCAGGCATTCAAGTAAAATTAAGGTTACTATCTCAACAATGTGAGAGGCTTCAGTGTTGCTATTACTGATGAAAAGATTTATGAAGCATGCTACTGATATGGTCAAACACTGCATGATATACAAAGTTTCATGACAAATGGTATGTGACTGTTACAGAATTAAGTTACACCGTTTTCCTCTCCGTTCTTCAAGAAATACTGTAAGGAAATCCCTATAGCAGGACCTTGCTTCTTTTGAAAGATGTGCCTGATGAGATTCTCAACAGTGGTCACTGTAAAGACTATTATCTTCTGGGATGAATGTCATTCAGTTCAGTAGAAGCTGACAAACATTTCACATGAAATACTGCCTCCACCTTTAAGGTTGAAGATTTGACCATGGAAGTAACCTGCAAAAAGCAGGTGGAGAGAAGTTTGAACTAGTGAACTTCTACCAACTTACATTGCATTAGATCCCACAAGACATAACTTGATATATAAGTCATTCTCATGCTGCCAAATATGCTCTCTGTGTGGCAACTGATGAAGTAAGGGTCACAGTCATGATCAAGACCTATTATCTTCAGAAAACACAACAACTGCTCTATGAGACAGCGACGACATGCCAGCAACTCACAACTCCTGCAGTGGCTACAATATCACATAGGCCAGAAACATTGAGACACACTGAGGGGAAGTTCCTCAGGTTACATTGAACAATGTGTGGCAGAGTACATGGTTGGGTGCATTCACACTCAGCAGGAACATATCAGTGTTTCTGAAATCCAACTGTAGATTTTGGAACAGCCCAAAGGAAAGCAGATGAGACACTGGAATCACACAGTGATGAGATGACTAATGAGAATCTTGATTTCTTGCAACGAAAGCAGGACACAGAAGATGATGAAAAGGATGTCTGAAGCCTATGATTTGTTTGAGAAGTGGACATTCCTGTTACAGATGACCCAAGCATGGGGCTGAGTGGCACGTTCAGTCAAGGACTGAGTGATCTTTGGCATAGCACGGCATGGCATAGCTGTATCAAGAAAAGTAAAAAGAAAGTCTGTTCAGACTTTTTTCCTTGGCTTCATAAAATACTAAATATGTTATTATTAAATTTTAAATTTGTACACATTCATGTATTTTTATTGCTTTCCCATTTTTAAAATGGATTTGTTTCTTCTGTTTGTTTCTCATATGTAGTTTAGCATGACTTAGCCTTTCCACATGGAGGGCAAAGTATATGAACATTACCTGTTTCACACAGTTCTCTGTTTCTGAAAACCTGTAAAATAATGTAAGTCACCAAGTTCTTACAACAATGATTATGAATTCAGTATTGTTTGTACTGCTGCAGTATGAATCAGTTGTAGGGGAAGGAGCTGATGTTAGTACTGGTAATGCTGAAGACAACTCTGTCTCTTCAATAGAAACCACATATAATTTCACATGAACAGACGTTTTTCTATTTGAAGCAATATGTTAGAAACAGTAACAAACTTAACAAAAATTGGTAATCACTATCTTGCTACACAGCTTGTTTAAACTACCCTGCTTTTAAAAATTACAAACTTTTTCCATCCATTCCCAGTGTAACCTACCTTGAATACTTTCCTACATCTTTTGTTATGTTTATTATTTAGCATGTCTTCACTCTTGCGTGCACGTGTTTGTCACAGATCAACCCAGACCTTGGGTATTTCAGACTTTATCCTATCAAGAATTGTTTCAATGGACATACTCCTTTCACTTCAGTTTTCTTATATCTCAGTGCCGATACTATTCTCATCATCAGCATGTCTAAAGTCTCTTGGAATATTCACCCACATGCCTTGTGGAGTCTTATGATTCAAGAGAAACTGTGAAGTGTTGAAACAGGGCCAGGAGCTATCAGTTTTCTCCCCCTATCATGATCAGAGTATTTGCTTTGTCTGCTTTTTCTTAAACTCATGCCTAAGAAGTATTATGCAAATTTTTCTATTTTGCCTTTTCAGATTCACTACAACTAAAATAGAATTACTTGTACTTAAACCTTTCTTTCACACTTCTAACCATGCTCTTCTTTGCCTTNATCAGTAAGAGTGGTTTGCCTGTAGGAACATTTATGAGGGTTGTAGATGATGGTATTAAAGGTTGATACATGTTGCCAGTCATAGTTCTTAATGTACATACGTATATATATATAAATATATATATGCATATATTGTATGTAGCTTCAAATAAGCCTTTGTGTAATACTAGTTGTATTGTATGTAAATAGTGAAACATTAACATCATTGGTCTGCTCAGATTATTTTTGCCACACAGTTTTGGATGTTTTTCTCTGCAGACAAAATACGCCATTTTGGATATTCCCAAGAATACATCTGCATCAGGCTCATGTGGGAATGATTCTCAAGTGATGAATCTTGCCTGGTATAATGAGGGTAATAAAAGCAACATACTGACAGTTGTGTTTAAGAAGAACGTTACTGATAGTCACTTCATGATTCAAAACATCAGTTTGGTTTTAACTCCAAGTGAAGAAATATTCCCATCCATTAAAGGTAATTTGAAACTTTGATTAATAGAAGTTTTTTAAGTATCGTATTTTCAGTGATTGGATTTTGTTAGTGATAATTGGTTTATTTTTTGATATGCAAGTGATGTAGTACCAGTGTATTAACCATTTGCATGAAATTTTGTTGATGAGTTTCATGAATGTTTAGTCTCAAATAGCCCTTCCACCACAGAAATTGAGGATAGAGTATGTAGTGTAACTGATGGTAAGATATATGTCTATATTTTTAAGGCTTGATAAGTAGAGAAACATAAAAAGTAATTCTTTAAATTTCTTTTGGAAAAAATTCTGTTGTCTGGAAATGATCCTGAAAAAATGCCTTTCTTGATTGGTGAGCAGAGAACTATGATGGGGCCGAGCTACAATGCAATCTGCTGTAGTGTGGAATTGCTTGTAATGAACAGGTTAATTGGTTATATAGACTAAATTATAGAAGAACACTGAGAATATAGGTTTCTTTGTTTGCTCTGACATACATGCTCTAGATTATGCCATTTGGAAAGGCAGGAATTGAATGGCTGAAATCAGATACTTGTTCAATTGACAGTAATTTTGGGGGGGAGAATGTGACCCAAAACCAAAATCAGCACGAAAGTTAAAAAGGAACTCTGTATACTAAACCATTTAAACATGTTCCACAATTTAAATCCTGGAAATGCTTGTTATTCAGTTCAGGAGCTGTTACAAAATGTGTATTCCAAAAAATCTAAGATCATGCTGCATAGAACAGAAATGTTTACAATTCTGTGTGGCTTTAAATGATCTCTTCCTTTAAGGGAAAGATGAAACTAAAGTTCTCAGGAAAATAACTGGATTTGAGGAAGATGAACATGACATCCAGTACCGCTTTTAGAAAACATTCCCAATACTTTGCATGTTGCCATATTTATGTGTGTAAGTTGACATCATGTATAGGTCTTTAGAAGAGACATCTTGAGCCGTTGCACTTCTTAATATGTGACTAAATAACAAGGTGTGTCAAGTATAGCAAGTTTGGTAGGAGAATACAAAAGTAATATGCAAACATCTTCTCACTGTCTTCTTGACTTGGAGGAGGTGTGTGATGCCACATTGCAATATCGTAAGACCACTCCGGCAATGGAATCTTAGTGACCAGCTACCCTTTTTGAACATCCTCCAGGATTATTATTTTTGTGTTCCTCTCAGCATTATCTTATCTGCACATTACTTCCAGGAAAATGGAATGCCTTGAGGATCAGTTCAGGGTTATTTCAACAGTCTGGTTTGATGTTTAAATTGTACTTTGTAGTTGATCTGTAGGGCTAAACATCTGTAAGTAGACGATACTGACTTCAGATTGCTATAAATCATCACAGTTGACACAGAAAAATGTATTTTCCATCTCTTCAGCTACTGTTTGTTCTGTGTCTCTGGTTTCTTGGCCTGCTTTTTGTCAGTAATGTCTCACAGGGAATTTCAGTCGTGAGGCCTCTACATTAAATGCAAGTATTCACTCGACATTTTAAATTTTTATCTGGTGGTTAATGTAGTGGATACCAAATGGTAATTATTCATCTCTACCATGCTGTAATTCACTGTAAGAAATTCTGGCAGCTTTGTATATGGCTCCAGAAGAAAGTCCAGACTGTTTATCATAGACTCTGTCAACAACATTGTAATTCATCTTACCACTGGTTCCCCCTCGGGATTCTTGATAGCCTCATGTGGACTCCGAGAAACCTCTACTTTCCTTGCAAGGAGTTCCTCCATTTATAGTTATGCAGTGAAATTGATAGTATGATCACATATTCCAACTTAAGGTACAATATTTATCCCTTACATCGCAGCAGGTATGAGTTAAGTGTTAGTGCTTCTTGATCTGTGGGTGCGCACCATTTCTGATTTTTGTAGTGGCTTGAGATTTATTTGTTCAGGCAATTGCCAGTAGATAATCTTATTCCACGATGGCAAATCATACATCCAGTGATCAACTTTCTCACCTAGCCAATACGTGAGAGCTGTAACATCATCTATTATTTTGCAAGTTTCCTTTCCTCATACATATTTGGACTGGACACCGGTGTTTGCGTATTATTCATCCAGCAAACAACTTTCTCACGTGACCAATACGAGAGAGTTGTAACATAATCTGTTATTTTTCAGAACCCCTTTTCTCATATTTGGATTACACAGCTGTGTATGCTGACTTGTAATTTGTTCAAGGTTCCATTGATTGTGCATTTATTTATGATCTCTAGATTTGTCCTGTTGCTTCCCTAGTTGTCACAGTATATGCTTCGCCAGAATTCTGTGCCATATGTTGAGCTCTCTTGTGGCAGCAACACCAGCAGTATCACCTCGCATGCACAGCATCCCCATGTGCCTTGCGGTGTGTCCACAGGTACACACCAGACCATTCAGTCACCACCAAGATTCTGTGCCAAGTGTCCTGCCTCTGTAATACAAGGAATCAGTTGTCTCGCTGGATACTTGGCCATATGGATCTGCGTGGCTATGAGGCTGCCATTGCAGCTGCTAAGGAGGTTGCTTTGTTGGTGGTTTGTAAGAACAACCTCTGTGATGAAGAAAGTCGTCTTCTGGATTTAGGCACCGTGTATTCTTCGTTTTGGCTGACGTTTCGGAGGAACGTAGAATACACGGTGCCTAAACCCAGAAGACGACTTTCTTCATTGTCATCGCCGTGAAAACCTCAAAACTTACAAAGCTCTGTGATGTTCGCACTATTCTTCATCATCCTTATATGTCCTCTTGTAAGGATGAAATGAATTTATGAGGGGTGACATTTTGGACCCGTTAAACTATATGTCAATTCCTCTTGGTACCTCATGTGGGAGAATGTCCTGGCTTTGGATTGGCCACACTTGCCTGACACAAGGACATTTGATGTGGAGAGCCAACACCCTGAAAAGCAGGTAGCTTCACCTTCCTCCACCTTTATCCTCCTTCAGAAAACACAAGTGGATGGTGCTGCTTTTATCTCTCCGGTTCTTACTGTAGTTCACAGTGCTCCCTAGATGACATAGGGCTTAGCCAAGAACAGGCATAAGAAAATGGGAGTATGAGAAAACTTAATGCAGAATTATGTGTGTTCAACAAGTCCCACACTTCTCCCCTACACTACTACCAAATAAAAGAATAAATTTTAGGTAACAAAACTTAATAATAATAAGAAAAGAACAGAGAATATAACAGTAATACACAGGAGACAGAATGTAACCAAAGTGCCTGAAGACTTGGGGGGTTGTTACAAACTCAATAAGCAGTTCTGTAGGAGTGCAGATATACAAGGTGTGCAACTAGTAGCTCTTTTTCTGGAAACCATATGAATTTTTCACATAATGGAGATGCAGTTCTCATGAAAACCATTGTGGTGTTGTGGCTAGCAAAACTGACATGTAACAACTCTGTGCCGCAAAGAAACAGACTTGGGAACAGCAAGGTGTGTGCTTGTTTTTCACATAATGAAAATGCAGTTCTCATGAAACAGTCATGGCTAGCAAAACTGACTTGACAACACCATGCCAGAAAGAAACAGACTTCGGTACAACAGGTCATGTTCTTGTGAAACTAAAACACAGGTTGACCTTATACCTGGCAATACAAATGTACATACGAATATAATCTGTGGGTCAACAAACCACACCCACAAAGCCAGTGTTCCACAAATCATAACATGCTCGCACAAAATACACTCTACTGTATACACACAAAGGCTTACTTAAACACAGAACACATGCAAAGACCCATTTGATGTTGGAAGATTACATTGGGCAAATCAAACTTAATTTGGCCACATGCACAGTGGCATACATCACATTGGTCCTAGACAGAATTTAGGATACGTCCATCCCATACGACTTCCGAGATCAAAAGAAAACATGTCTACACTAGCAAAATCTAAGGCAAGCTACCTCAGAAATGGAAGGGGAATGGTGATTGGGTAGCCTGGTCATGAACCTATTTGTGCGTACTGTGGGGAGTACCTTATCATTCCTTTTACATGCTTTTATTAGACACCCATTTTATGATCAAGTATGCTGTACCTTGGATCTTGGCATCTTATGCGACATCCTTGGAGAAGATCACTGTAGCATATCAGATGTTCTGTTATTTTTTAAAAGTATTGGCTGTGTCAGGTCTCTTCTGACTGATGTTGGTTTATGTCATCTGAATGTTTGAACCTTCTATGCCACAGAAATATGTGTGTTTGTGTTATTTTATTAGGCACACACTTTTAGACCCTTATAACAGCCTTTTATGCAGCCAGACAATCTCGGTTGCCTTTATTGTATGGCAGAACTGAAAGTAATGTAGCAGTTTTACCCATGATTTTACTCACAGGCCCTTTTGCACATACATTTGTAAGTTTACAAGGAATTCTTATATAAAATCTAGACAGGCACAAATAGGCTTAAATGCCAATATGCTTCAGTACACGCATTCAAATGCATGCTTTGGTAGAGAGTCTTGGATGTAGAATATACAACATTCTCACTGAATGAGAACTGTGTCCACAGTAAAGAGCATATCCACAATCATCTGTATTTCACAAATTTTGAAAAGCATAAAACAGCTGTTTTAGTTTTCTGTTGAAAGTAAGTTTGCCCTCTTCCAGCTCTAAGTGAATGAAATAATATTTCTGATAAATAATTACATTCGTTTTTCAGACAAGAATATTACCAAACTGTACAATAATAAGACAGAATTCTCAACTACTCTGAGTAAATCCTATCGCTGTGCGAAAGAGCAGTCTTTTAATCTCCTGCAGGATGGAACCAATGTGACCATTGGCAATATTGAACTAAGCCATGTTCAGCTTGAAGCTTTTCACAAGACAATGGATGGTTCATTTGGTGCAGGTTAGTATCCTATTATGCATCTCATACAATATTTTTTGACATGTAAAATTTGTACTGTTCAATTATGTACACAAATAATATTGAAATTGTGGCAGATGGCAGTAATGGATACAGTTTATTATGAAGAAAGCAGTCTTCTGGGATTTGGCACCGTGTATATGTGGTGTTAACCGACATTTCGGAGGAACGTATCGCCCCCATCTTCAGGGTAGAAGAAAAAGTATAAGAATTCTGCAAGCGACAACACCGTGAGAAACGGTAAAGCAGACTGNCATAGTGTTCCTCTATGGGGAGGCTACTCAACGACACATTCGACGACTCGAGACGCTACGAATCAAGAAGACTAAACTACTCTCTACCCTTCCCTTCCTTCTTAGATGCAGAGACCAAAACACCATCCCTCGTTTCCTTCAGTTCAAACACCATATAAATTCTGACGCTGCCGACAGAATCTATAGACGCACGAGCTTCTGTTTAAATGTCTGCTTTACCGTTTCTCACGATGTTGTCGCTTGCAGAATTCTTATACTTTTTCTTCTACCCTGAAGATGGGGGCGATACGTTCCTCCGAAACGTCGGTTAACACCACATATACACGGTGCCAAATCCCAGAAGACTGCTTTCTTCATAGTCACCGCCGTGAAAGCCTCAAATCTTACACAGTTTATTATGATCAGAATGTATCATATGTAGATGAATGAGTTTAGAAATTTGTTTTCGGTGTTAAAATTTTAAATGGAACAAGAGAAAGTCGGATGTCTAGGTTTTAATTCAAGATTTAAGTTCAGCTACAAGTGAATGGTATCAGCATGTATATGTAGTTGTACTTAAAGGTTTTGGCACTATATATAGGAAAACATTCTTGTAAACAATGAAAAAATATATATTGCAACCTTGATGTTAATGATATATTATAAAATTCATAGAAATACTTGTTCTGACAGATACCTATAATCTCCAGAAATGGTTGAACTACAAATTCATCCGGTAACTTTCAGTTGTATGATATAATATGGTCCTAAGGTTTGAATACTAATTCAGGCTAAAAGAAAAAGTAAAGCTATCCCTGTAACAGGCTTTGGAGGCCCATAAGGTTGTGAGATGTTGAGAGTTCCACATTTTGCAGACAGCTCACAGATGGCGATGTAGTTGTTAGTCTTACATGCCAGCCGCTTTTTATGCCCCAGGAAGATCCCTGGTACTCATTTCTGTTAGAGGCTGAGTTGACCACAGAGCCATAGTGTGGCTGGAAGGATTAGGTAAATTGAAAAAAATCCAGTGACCTCATTGGGACTTGAACCCATGACCTTCTGGCTTGTAGCATAGTGCCTCAAACAATTATGCTACCATGTGTGTCAGGATTGATCACGTTTGTTTGCAGTATTGAATGCATGTGCTATGTGCAAAGGTAAAATAGCAGTGTTTGGAATTAGTGAAAATGACTGCAGGAAGTTCACAGGAAACTTTTAATGTGTTTTAATTATAGCACTAAATTTAGAAAAGTATAGTTTTTTGCTAGAAGTAAGATTATATTTTTCTTTCTTTAGCTGAAGATTGTGAAGGAAGTAGCAGTCCTGATATAGTTCCGATTGCTGTGGGCTGTGCATTAGTTGGTCTGGTGGCAATTGTCCTGATTGCATACTTGGTGGGCCGACGCCGCTCCCAAGCTCGTGGGTATCTCAGCATGTGAGTGAGGCATGCTGATGAGAAGAAAGGAAGGAGGAGTGAATGATAGTACATATAAGTCTTGGATTTGTTAACTGAATGAGAAAATAAAACAAAATAGGTTACAGACGGATTTCAGATATATGCCATAGACTATAAATATTTTACTGGAAAATGAATGCAGTAAATAATGAGGAATCTCGTTTTGGGATTTGTAATGTTCAAACTTAAAACTCAAGGTTGAATAATATCAATATAATTTTACATGCAGTGGTTTCTTTCAGTATCTGTTTATATTGTGTTTAATCACACATTGAGCCAGTTGTCTAGTCACTTAGAAGCTGACATTTAAGTAGGTACACATTTTATTTAAATTGATGGGAAATATAGTGGAAGAAACCTCTGTATGCACCTGTTACTGCTGTATCAATGTATTGCTGTGGTAAAAATGATACTGTGGTAATGCTTTCTGGTAAATGGTAAAATTGTTCCATCTGGTAGTAGCTCATCTGTGATTCAAGGGCTGTTCTTAGCATGTATTTAATTATACTAATACGAATTTTATGAACCTGTTTGTCATGCTTCAGTACCTAATAAAGTGAGACTTTTCAAGGTTTCCATGTCATTCCAGAGGTTCTTTTGTTTTTGTTTGAAAGTTGTTTGTAGAATGTACATGTTCAAAGAAAGATAGAAAAATTTAATTGTTGTCTAAATTCCGTTTGCTAGTGAATTTGAATTTTGTTCTTACTTTTAATTTGTCCTTTTAGAAGAACTAGTGAAAATTTTGAATGTTTAATAAGGTGGTTCTAGTCCTTTGACTCCTTCCTTTCATTTCTCAGTACTGGAACATTATTAAATGTGAACATGAATTGTATGGCTGAAATCATGACATTTATGAACTTCATTAAAAGCAAAGGACAAGAATCATCTTTTGCAGCAATTATAGGAAAATTGAGAGATCCATCTTGTGTAGTGCTTTAACATCGAAGACTGTACACTTTGCTGAATGAGTCATTTTCAGATATTCTTTACTACAATGTTCATTTTTTTACTTATAGGATTGAAAGTTGTTCATATTGGAATTGTTAATGTAAATTTGTGTTCTTAGGGGAGGGGGAAGGGGCCTTGCCCTGCATTAACATTATATGAACTTGTCCTTCTTTGTACAGGATGTATTATCTCGAAATAAAATCTTTTATGGGATGACATCTTGATTTATTCCTAGGTAATTTGCCTATGCATATGTTAATGAAACTTATCCATAGTAGGTAAGTACAGCGAATGCTGCATGTTCACTGCATTGCTGACTGAGAGATAACGAAAAGGAGGAGTGAGAGGTGTTAAGGCTGTAAAAGGGCAGTTACGATTAATGCAAGTTTACCAGACCACCATCAACTGAAAGCGGTAAGAAAACATAGCAGTGATGAATTCAGGTACACCTGTACAATATAAAGTTTTTGGATAAAAATAAAATTAAGGGCAGGAGTTGGAGGAGGGAAAAGAGTCGAACCTGTGAAGGGTTATTTGAAATTGATGATGTTCCATCCAAACTGTTGCAGTTGAGCGACGGTTTGTCGGGCAGCATGGGGGCGAGCGTTATCGTGGAGAATGCTTACACCCTTGCTCAACATCCCTCTTCTCCGGTTCTGAATCGCCCGCCTGAGTTTTCTCAGTGTCTCACAATATCTCTCAGCGTTTATTGTGGTCCCAGTTTCCATAAAGTCAACCAACAATACCCCGTTTCGATCCCAAAACACAGTTGCCATGACTTTACCGGCAGACTGTGTTTGCTTGAATTTTCGAGGCTTAGGCGAAGAGGAATGCCGCCACTGACGTGATTGTTGTTTTGTCTCAGGTGTGAAGTGGTACGCCCAGGTTTCGTCGCCTGTGACAATTGAATTCAAGAAGTTGTCCTTTTCGTCAGCATAGCGGCGAAGAAATTCACGGGAAGAGTCAACTCTCTGCCGTTTGTGGTCTTCCGTGAGCATTCGCGGGACCCATCTTGCGCACACCTTCCGATAATTCAACTTCTCTGTCAAAACCCGATAAATGGTGGTTTGGGAAACCTCGGGAACCGAAATGCAGAGATCATCGAGTGTGATGCGCCTATCCTGACGCATGAATCGCTCAATCTTCGCGACTGTCTCGTCAGAAATTGACAGTCTCCCAGTTCTTTTTTCGTCGTGTATTGCAGTACGACCAGATTCAAACTCCCTACACCACTTGCGGACGTTCTTTATGTCCATGCACAACTCGCCATACACTTCCACCAATTGACAATGAATTTCAATTGGTTTAGTCCCTTTTGTGTTCAAAAACCGAATAACTGCGCGAATCTCCCACTTCGCGGTTTTAGTAATCGGGAGCTCCATTTCTAACGGCAACCGTGCCAAGACTGAGCGTCCTAGCTACGTGCGCGCATGCTTGGTGGTATTGGGGGGAGTGGGGGAAGCAACGAATGCAACAGGGTTGCCAACAGCCACACGAAAAATTACCCAGCGCTTTGGAGACCTTACTTTTGGAATCAGCTACGTATTTAATAATACAACAGTGGTGCTAGTTTTTCAGCAATCCCCCCAACCCATGCCCTTGCCCCTCTGTGGTATGCCTAACAATTATTATTCTGTCCATAATATTGTATCCTTGCATCCTGTTGCACATCACTGATTTATTCAAGTGACATGTGAAATGGCCAATAACTAAGAGAAATAAATTATTCTGTTGTGAACAGAAGACTGCTCCACAGAGGCCCACCCAGACTTATGGTGCCACTGCCATTGTGATCCTCCGTGAAACAGCTTGTGCAAAAGAATAAAATCGTGGAATCCCTCAGTGTGAATAAGTGGTTTTAAGCCAAGATTCAAACTGATCACCTGATTACAAGTCTAGTATTGTCACTGCACCAACCTGCTTGGTTGGAATGACAACAGAATGGACAGAAAATGGAAGGGAAATAAACATGAGAGGATTGTGGGGGATAAATGTTTAAAAGGAAGAATGTGGACTCAGGATGAAGGTATTGTGTCATGTAAACCCATTGCTACCCAGTGACTGTGAAACAACTGTACAACAGCTGTTGCTAGGATAATGCCTCTGCCAACAGACACAAATTAAATAATACCACGGCAACAGCTGCACTCAACAGATGAGCGGTATTTTCTGCACGGTCCATAGCCAGATGTTATAACCAGGACAAGTTAGTGTAGGACCAGTAGCAAATTTATCAGTCAGTAATCAGTTCAGTCAAGTGAGGAGTTATGCTGGTGAAGTCGAGCAGTAATTTACAAGACGTGTGTTTGTGTGTGTAGTCAAGTCACCTGCAGTAGAGGGGGCGACCAGTAGTAGTCAGACCCCTCCTCTCCTTGAAGAGGGGACCCCATTTCAAAACATATAGAAGTCTTAGAAAGAATAAAAATGTGGTCTTAGGTCAGGACAAGACCTGTAATCAAGATTTATTGTTTTCTGGTGAGGGCCAGCAGCAGTGTACCCAACCAACCTGCTGCTACAAGTCAAGAGTCAGAGTTACTTTATGACTGGCGGTTTACCGTCAGTGCCTCTTGGCGCCAAGCCCCTTGAGGCTTATGATCAGATTTTTTTTTAAGTGAACCCTTGAATTCATAGCCCTTGTGTAACATGTGCTTGGCCTTGTTAAGTGTACATATTGCACGTATAGCATATAGCGTGAAAATTTTTCCTTTTGCACTATATACAAATTCTCTGTCAGTCCAGTCTTTGCAAAGACTAATTCCCAGTCAGGGCTCTCCTTGTATAACTTCGGCACGAACCACACAGAATACAGTGAGAGAGAGAGAGCGTGCTCAGGTGTGTGTGGAGGCAAGGGCAAATTAATGAGAGTGCCCGCAAGAGTCAGACCCCTCCTCTTGTTGAAGCATTTGAAAACACAAGTCTTGAAGAAAGAAAATATTGTTTCATGTCGTGAATCCGGAAGAGATACTTCCATGGAAACGCGATAACAGTGAGCCGTTGCATGGGAATAACCCAAACAACAAACGCCAGATGAAGAAACAGCCTCAGAATCAGGATGGGTACCTAAAACGAGAGGCCGTCGCCCGCAGAGGGACGAGCCAGTGCGAAAGTGTCACGGCAGACAAAAGAAACCGACAGGAAGATGTCCCGTTGCGCCACAGTGGCTCGACTCAGGAGAGAGATTGTCGGAACGAGCACGATCCAGGAAAAGTGTCGCCTGCACAAGGAGTGGGCCGCTGCTAGAATAAGGATGACCTGGCGCGCAGAAGTGGCACAGCGTAGAGGACACAGTCATCAAGGTCACTGCAGGGACAATGCTGCACCAAAATCCCAGAAAAGACAAGCGGCGTCGAGCGCATCCGGGAAGTGACAAAGGGAGAAGGAGCTGAGAATTTAAAGAACAAATGAAGTCATTATAGGAGGCCCTTGGAAAAGCTTTCGAGGCGGGGGGCGTGAAGAGAACAGTCCTGATTTACAGTAGATTGCGGAAGGGGAGAAGCTGGCCACTCTGTAGGGGTCGACCCCCACCGAAACGGAAAAACGTTTAAATACCGTATAGAGGAGGAACCGGTAATATAAAAGCACCGGCCTCCCCAGCGAGAGCGAATGAGTGAGAGAGAAAGTGAGGGATGAATGTGATACGACGGGACCAGCGAACGCCGGACCATGGAGCTGCTCGGGACGAGCACCCTTGAAGAAGGGGGCGGAGGAAACGAAGAGATGTACCGTTAGGCTGTTCGGGACGAACAACCTTTAGAAGGGAGAAATGTCGCATGTGGTTGATCCGGATGGGATACTTCATGGAAACGCACTAACTGTGAGCCATTGCATGGGAATATCCCAAACAATAAACACGTTTCCCCGGAGATGAAAGGACAACAGAGGGTTCGTTGCATGACAGCGGCCGAGATCAAAGGTTCCTACGTGGTGCGTTCTATTCCGGCAGTCGCAATGTGACTTGGACTTGAACTTGGACCAGACAGTAGCCCGTGTGGAGGCGGGGTCGAATACCTCCTCCATGAACCCTGCGAGTCGTAGGAAGCGACGAAAAAGGAAGTGTCAGATCTGAGACAGTAAAATATGGTCGCGAGTGCCAAGGGTCTAGGACCTAATAAAGAGTGCGCTGGCAACGGTCAGTAGCATATATAAAAGACAGACCCGTCCTTCCGTCAGAGAGGGCGCCCCACAAAAACAAGACTGTGACTGCCAAACAGTAATAAATATCTGGTCATAAGCCCCAGATTGAGCTCGACACAAAGACTGACTGTCAGTCGCAATGTGACTTTGACTTTGACCAAACAGTTAGGAAATATATTCATAGCTTTTCCTAGGACATAGATTCAGCGCGTTGCCATGGATTTATACGTAAGCGCGTTTCATAGGAAATGGATTCAGAGCATTTCCTAGGACATAGATTCAACGTGTTGCCATGTTTTTACAGGTGCGTTCACTAGGAAGTAGACTCTTGGAAAACGTGTAGATCGAATTCCATGGAGACAGGATTTTATAATATAATCCGCAGAAACCCAGGCTGACCTAATCCGTGTGGATGCGAGTCGTAGGAGGCGACAAAATCGGAAGTCTCAAATCTGAGACGGTAAAATATGACTGCAAGTCTCAAGAGTACTCCACATAAACAGGATCGTAACCATCGTAACTGTCAAACAGTAATAAATATCTGGTCATGAGCCCGGGATACACGCAACAATATTGTCATGGGTCTCGACTGGACCAGAAACCAACAATTACTGTGCTGGTGACACTGGTGACAACCATCAGCAATTTATCTGACCGACCAGTCAGTGTTGAGGGTGATGAGTCAAGCGTTGCAGTGTCCCAAGTAGTCTCTAGGAAGCCCTGCACTGACGTCATAGAGTGTAGTCGAAATTCATTGGCTGAAATCGCCAGATAAAGGATCCAACTCTCATTTAGCGAGTTTAGTGTGGAGATAGAAAAGAAAAGACGGAGGAAGCCCTATTTGTAGCTGCTGAGAAAGTTGTGTAGAACTGCATTTATTTGCAACATTGAAATAAAATGAAGATCTGGACATCGGAACACACATTTAAGTATGTCATTTGCATAAATTATGTTAAAATATGTTCTTGTCATTTAATACATGGTAACTTTCGGAGATTGAGAAGGACACGTAAGAATCTTTAAAATTCAAGGCAGATTATATTGAATGTTTTTAGTATAAGCAGAGAATTGAAAATTAGTTTACATCCCATACTTGTTGGCGACTGTACGTTCTTCTGAAATTTTCGGCACATCACTGTGCTGCTATGTCGATTCCCGTTAAGGTATTTCTGAAGAATGAAATGGAGAATCACATAGATCTTCGTTTTTTTTTTAAATGCTGGAAGTTGCACTTAATTAGTTGTGCATAGTTACATCTTTCTTACCAGTTTTATTGTTTGTTAACAGTATTGATCCACTTAAATGTTTACAGCCATCCATGGGAAACAGTGGCCCAAGCTGCATGGAGAAAATACCCAAATCCTATGAATCCAGCAGTTATAGGTACAGATGTAGTAGACAGGAAAGTTGTTGATGGAGTTCTACATACACATCGACTTGTCAGCTCCAAGTGGGGCTTCCCAGGATGGGCACAGTCTGTGAGTAAACTTATTTATAATACATTTAGCTCCCTGATTTTGGAGATAGAGGGTTCTGTCTGATTTGATGAATATCATCCCATTGTCTTTCTGTTTCATTGTTTTATGTTTATCAAATTGAACTAATAATTTATTAGTTCTGTTAAGGTGCTTACAATAATATTTATTGTAGCAGAGGTGATATGAATCAGTGTTGACTTCAGTGTGAGGTTTAGTAACTTTTATTAGCCTATTTTTTAATATTATAATGTTACTTTATTAGCCTATTTTCTTTTCTTAAAAAGGAACATAGTTATGAGGTTATGTACTGTGTGTTTGTGCATGTGATCCTGTGGGTGCATATGTCTTCCCTTTATGCTTTTGAACCAGTTGATCAGTTTTAAAGAAATGTGGTGGAAGAATTATGCCAGTGGATGCTACACCAACCTCATACTTTCAGTTCCCTACTCTTTGTATCAGTGCATCGGATGCATGAGTTTGTGACATGGGAGTAATTCTAGTGCAGTTTAATATATATCCTGCAGTGGTATGTAGCAATAGGTGTCCAAAAATATGGATTATTTTTAATGTAATTGTTTTTTGTAAAAATTGATACAACAAAATAATGACTGCCTAAAATCAATACTGCACTGTGTTTAGCTCTCCATTTTGTTGCAATTACTAACAAACTGTTGGAGATAGATATGTGGTATTTGGTATGACAGTAGGTTATAAATATACCTAAAAATTCTATGTAAAAGTCAGGAGTTATGTATTTAGTGGTGCAGAACTTTGATGTTATGTCTGACAATTTTTAATATAAGAAAAAAAAGTTATATTTAAGAAAATCTTCCAAAACATAAATATTTCATTTACTACAGTTCTGTCTCAACTGCAGTTCATTTACCTGTCTAAAGTCCTACACCTGAACCAGTGAGCTAAACTTATTGTTATAAATTTACCTTACCTAAATGTGAAAATTAAGCACTCAAGATTTGTAGAATCTGTGCAGCATTTAAGTAGGTTTTATGAATTCTACCCAGAACTCAGTCAGGTTGAAATCTAGGTGGACTTGAAGGAAAATAAAATTAAATAAAGAACTTGCAGTTGTGTGCTGAAATATATTGTCACATGGATGAGTGTTACTATAGATGGGGTTTGAATTTGTTGTTGGATTTATTGAACACTTATACACACAACTTGTAACTACAAGTAACTGTAGCGCTATTGCTAATTTGCACTGTGCGCTTCACTGCAGTCTTCTGAGTCTGCTGTGTCTTCACCAGTTTTCTAGTAACAGCTTCCATTGACAGACGTTCCCCTTCCTCTGAGTTCCCAAATTGTCCCCATGCCTCAGCTGCCAGCTTCTAATAGCAGCATCTCACAAGGACTGAACTACAGCAGTCTCTAATTGACTCACTCACCATCCAACTCACTCCACTTCACTATCAAACTCAAAAGTTCAAGTCAGAGTTATGTTATGACTGATGGTCAGTCCGCCAGTCTGTCTTGGTGTCAAGCCAATGTGGAGCCCAAAATCAGTTTTTTGTTACTTTAAGACAGTTTTGCATTTGTTGATATGTGGTGCCCTCTGTGATGCGACGACTGCTCTGTCATTTACAATTGCTGCTGGCCATCGTCAGTGCAGTCATATTTACTGCCTGTAAAATATAGGGGCCATTTTATTCGAGAATTTTAATACAATTTTATGATGGTTATTATTCTGTCTTCTTTTGAATCAGCCCCATTAAGCTCTGTCATGATCTGCTGATGCATTAATGCAACTACTTCCGACATGTTCAGAGATGAACTGTTTGCATTAGGAGCCTAAACTGACTGCCTAAAGGAATGGGGGGGTGCTAATTTCTCGCAGTGTGGCAGGGCTTGGTAACTCTCACTAATAGTCCTGCTTATAACTTCTCGGCACAGATTGAATAGAAAAAACCGTCCCTCTGTTGCTGTTCAATTGTTGCTTAATGGACCACGCTGAAAAAACGCCATTCCTCTATTGTTGATTGCAGGTCGGTGCCTGGCAACGGCCACTGTACAATTTCCTTTCTCGTGGTTGTCACCTAGCAACCTGTCTACATGCCACAATATGCATCCCCACCATCCACTTAGTTGTCACTTGATTGGATTGGTGTCATGTATCAAAAACTTGATAGTTGTAACTCAGTCCAATTATTGTTGACTAAAATGTGATGTCTGTCGGTCCGTCCGTCTGCCCACCTGCCCATCCATACATTGCTCTCACTTGAATCATAAGGCTTCTGTGAAACGCTTCGTTTTACAATATTATATTTAAGCATCCTGTTGTACTCTATACGATATATGATATAAACTCCGTCCTGAGTGCAACAATTTATTGTAGGTCTTTCGTCTTGCTTTCTTCTACACTACATGTTTCAGCTGCAAACGGCCATCATCAGGTGTATTGCTTCGTTTTACTTCAGTTTCTTAATCTTAGACAGCTGTAGGACTGCTTGTATGGGGGATCAGCTTTTCGCAAGGCATTAGTACCTACACTGGACAACACAAACCTAGAATAAACGCAGACAGACATCCATGCCTTGAGTGGGATTCGGACCCACGATCCCAGTGTTCAAGCAGACGAAGACATTTCATGACTTAGGCTGCATGACCACTGTGATCAGTGGGAGGTGGTAGAGTGGTGGTAAAAAGATTTAAACTGTCATTTCTAATAATTATATTTTATATATCCTTGGCTCACCGCCGCACCCTCCTACTCACCGGTGCTTCAGCATCACAGCCCTGCCTCCCGGCGGCCAGGTATGGGCACGGAGCTTTAGCGCCATCCATTTTCAGGGCTTTTACGTATGACTACTTCATATTTAATCTTTAAGTAATTTATGTATTCATGGTTAGCCAGAATTGATTTGTAATACTGATTTCCATTTGACCATGGAAAACAAATTTCTGTAATTGCATCTGGTAATGTATTCACCATGGGATTTGGTCGAGAAAGAGAAGGGTTTCCAAATTATAACCTGAATTTTTGTTTAGGTTTATTTCATGATGCTGTCAGGCTCTAGACAAGTGGTCCTCACACGTTTTTGCCCATTGGACCACTTCAACAGAGCAAAAGATCTGCCAATCACCTACCCCTTCATGTTCCTGCTTGTTACTGCAAAGTAATTTATCAGATTTAATTGAAAATATGGTGCTGCTTTTGTTGCTGCAGCAGTGATGTGTTATTCTGAGCAGAAGAGCTTCAGACCTGTGACAGGCTTTGTGCTCAGATAGTTCTTCTCTTTTGTCAGTCCTGCAGGTGTTGAAAATTTTATCTCATGGTTGTATATCTTTCGGGAAAACAGCATGTGCTTCACAGCTGTGTTGCAAGTCCAAGATACGTGGACCATACATGAAGAGTAAAGTATATCAGATTTTTGACACTAAACACCAGCTGCAGTCCACCTGTCTAAGCTCCACAGGATTGTCTACCTCCATTGATATAAGCTTGACATTGATCTCTTCAGTATGGCCCATGTTTGCAAACTGGTTTCTGATGGACTTTCTAGAGTGCTTGTGGAGGCCCCATAGGCACACATTGAAGGCTTAAATGACCTGCCAATCACTTTCTTCCTTGGAGGCAAGCAAGGAATTGGCGAGAGTTGTGTTAAAAAAATAGTGGTTGAGGCAGTCACACCACATCTCTGCCATCACAAATCAAGATTTTACACTGATAACTTTCACTTCATAGCAGGGTTCAGCCTATTAATATGGTTAAAATAGCAGCAAAATATGCAAGTGAGGCAAGCCACAAGAAATCATGCATGCAGTCCAAAAGATCAGAGACTTTACAGTCACTGTTGCATAGGTGGAGTTTGACCTCCTCGCACAGCTCGTAGAGGTGGATGAGTATTTTGTCCTGCAGCAGCCAGTGACCTTCAGTACGGAAAAAATAATTTCACGTGCTCTCTGGGCATTCAAAGGATGCCTTTTGATGAAGTTTGCAATTTTTAATGCTTTGTCCAGAACTCCTTTAAGACTACTGCCTGTTTTACTTCTTCACAATGAGCTACTCATAGTAATGCAGCAGTGCTTTGCTGCTGCCAAGGGTGCAAGTACTTGCGACATATACATATAAGCTGTCCAACCTGTTAGTCAGTACTTATTCTGTTATTATATCAAGTCAGTGTTATTATTCACAATGAAATTATTCAGTATCTAAAAAGTGGTTCTCCTGTTCTGTTTGTCAGCAGAGCAAAGATTTGTCATGTACTTCCCCTAAATATTAATACCTGATATTCACCAGAAGGATAGCAGCATTACCCACTTTGTTGAAGGACTCGTCGAGTTGAGCAAGAACTACTGGCTCCAATGTAGGTGTGACCTCTGGTATTTCCCATTTTCAGCCATGGATGTTGGTTGACACTGAATAGTGTCATTTGAAGAGGGCATCTTCTTAATGTTATTTTTGTCTTTTTTCACAAGCATGGTATTTGACATTATTTTTGCTGCAAGTTTGGTCATGTTCTCTGCTAAATTATGTTTCCGAATCTTTTCTGCCAGCAGTAATACCTTGTGTGAAACTCCTCTAGCATTTGCAGTTTCCATACCAGAAGCAATAATGTGCTTAGTGTTATTGTGGATCAGTACTTTGTGTTTGTTCATGTGGGTTTCCAATGTTCTCCCTGTATTTGGATTCAGAATGGCATATAAGCTAGGAAGCCTTCATTGCCTCGTTAACCAAAATTCTATAATGCGAAGAGATGGAGGGTTATCCAGGAAAGTCTCTGGGTACTCATCACTGTTCTAGATCTTTTTTATGAATGCAGTTTTGGGGTGTTGTGTTGCTGTTCAAATCAACATATTAGTCTTACCAGAATTATTCATTAAGCAAGTGAGTTAATCAAGACAATTTCTGATTTCCTTCACTCCCTCCAACGCAGTTCCAGGATATATCTCAAAATACTCGTACATGAGGGATTCTTCCTTTCCAGTCCATCCTAATTTGTAGATTTAAATCTAGGCTGGGAACTGACCACCTCCACTGAGTT